TGTTTGACGGTCTTGGCCGCGTGCGCCGCCTTCCTGCGCGCGTCGTACTGAGTGAGCACGTCCACCAGCCCCATGAAGTACAGCTCCCTGCGGGGGGCTCCTGGGGGGGCAGGGACCCCTCAGACCCCAAACACCCCAAACACCTCCCCTGCACCCCAACCAACCCCTCAGCACCCCCCACACCCCAACCCTGGGGACAGGAGTGGGACCTGACAGAGGTGTGACCCTATAGGGTGTGCGACCCTACAGGGCACAGGGACAGGTGTGTGACCCTACAGGGTGACAGGTGAAGTCACCCTGGGGACTTCACCCTGGGGATGGTTGTGGCCCCCCCAGCCCTGCATGTGTGACCCCATAAGGGGACAGGGGTGTGACCCCATTAGGGGACAGGGGTGTGACCCCACAGGTGCCAGCTGTGACCCCATAAGTGCCAGGTGTGCCCCTGCAGGTACCAGCTGTAGCCCTATAGGAACAGTGGGACCCCCCCCCAGCCCCATCTGTGCCCCCCCCCAGCCCCACTCACCCTCAGCCCCCCTGACCCCATACACGTCCACGGTGGGGTCGAAGTCCCCTGGCCCGGGGGGTCTGTAGGAGTTGAGGAGCCCCCCCAGCCCCTCGGGGGAGGTGCCGTAGGGCCCCCACCCCCCCTCGTCCCCGGGGGGCTCCTCCTCCTCCGGCTCCTCCTCCTCGTCCTGCTCGCCCCGCTCCAGGTCGTGGATGCCCAGCAGGAGGCTGTACCCCATCAGCTTCTGCTGCACCAGGAACTGCGGCCACCGCCGCGTTAGGGGCACCCCAAAACACCCCCAGGGTGTGGCCAGGGCCCCAAAACACCCCCAGGGGTGGGTACAGCCCCAAAACACCCCCAGGGAATGGGTACAGCCCCAAAACACCCCCCCCGGTGTGGCCAGGGACCCCCAGACCCCCAGGGCATGGCTATGGCCCCAAAACAACCCCCCAGGGCACGGGCAGGGACCCCCAGACCCCCAGGGCATGGGCAGGGCCCCAAAATACCCCCTGGGCACGGGCAGACCCCCAAAGCACTCCGTGGGCGTGGGCAGGGACCCAAAACTGCCCCCAGAGCATGGGTATGGCCCCAAAACAACCCCCCAGTGTGGACAGGGCCCCCCAGACCCCCAGGGCATGGGCAGGGCCCCCCAGACCCTCAGGGCACGGGCAGGGCCCCAAAACACCCCCAGGCCATGGGCAGGGACCCCCAAAACCCTCAGAGCCTGGACACGACACCCCAAACCCCTCAGGGCCTGCACCCCTAATCCTCCAGACACTGGACATGGCCCTCCCAAACCTCTCAAACCCCGAGCACTGGGAGCCAACCAGGGGGTCATTTGGGAGGGGGGTGACCCCCTCCTGTCCCCCACCGTGGGTTCAGCCCCCCCATTTTCCCCCAGGGGTTTCAGCCCCCCCCGTTCCCACCTCCACGTCCCTGCGCAGCTTGTCCATGAAGTGTCGCTGCTGCTCCTGCCCCACAAACACCTTCTCGTTGTTGTTGAGGAAATCCACGTCCTTCAGCGTGGGCAGCTCCTTCCCCTGGGGGGCACAGGGGGGGCACGGAGCCCCCCCGGGCTGGGGGAGAGCCCCTGGGGTGGGGGACACCCCATCTGGGGTGGGGGACACCCCAAAGAGGGGCTGGGAGGGGGGGGGGGGGGGGGGGGGGGGGGGGGGGGGGGGGGGGGGGGGGGGGGGGGGGGGGGGGGGGGGGGGGGGGGGGGGGGGGGGG